AGTAAAGATGAGTATGGTCTTATATTTTACTGCTTTTCTTATAAATTGTCTACCAGCATCAATTATTTAATGGAGTCATTCTACATGAAATTAAAAGTTCTATTGAGACATTATTTCAATGACAAAAACATGCAACAGTATAGCATTTTGAGCTCACAGCATTGCCTTCATATTGTCAAAGGAGAAATAAGGTCTAATGTCACCAATAACATTAATTCTGTTTTATTTTACAATGTTCATGCTATTTGCATTTAGAGGGCTTTTCTAATATGGAGACACATTTACCATATAAACAAAATGGCTGAAAATGATTGCGAACACAGGGCAAGGCTGCATTTGAGTTCACTAAAGCTATTATAATACGCAAAATCCTTGAAAGTGTAAATAAATGGAATTAATTTTCCCTTTGTGAACAGCAAGTGCTGAGCTACATGTTACCATGGATACTACATGTTGCTTAGAGTCTTGTTCTTTTCTTAGCAGTAAAGACCATCAAACATTAAGACCTTGCTGTATTCTCAGCAAGCTTGTTGGATTTACAAGACAAAGCAGTACATCCTTTGCTATGTTAAATCTGGTTTAAAAACACAGCTTTACTTGTTTCTCACAGAGGAAGTGATATTCCTAGCCACATCATATAACCTTGAAAATACTGTAATAGATATATGAGGGTCCATATGATACAACTGAAATTACTGGAAAACCATAGTTTTTCCTATAATCTAGAAATACATGTGGTACTTTGTTCAGTTAATAATGATTTAACTATCCCTTAAATACAAATTACATGTGACCTCCCTTTGGGTTGAGCTATGATTGGTAATTACGTGAGTTTTAGGTTGTGAGATTGTTGGAAGATATATGATGTTAATTACACACACAGACACGCACACACACACACACACACACACACACACACACACACACACACAGACACACGCACACTTTCCCCTTTATGACAATGCAGCATGCTCAAGAGTGAGTGATTAATCTAGTGACGATAGGCCAATGCAATCATGCTGAGTTAACAAAACAAAAGGCTTGTTTTACCTAGTAGACTAGTAGATAATGCTCTTGAATACAATACTTGCAGGAGATGTCAGATTTGGGTGGGGGTGGTTTCTTCTTTTAAAATATTATGTCTGCATAATGCAGACAACATGATTTTTATGATCCACAGAGCAAATGGTTATTACAGAGAAGCAAATCATCTTACACAGTCACCCATCTTTTTGTATTGTTTTAGTGACAATGGTGGTTCTTTCTTTACCTGCTTATCACTAAACATTCAGTAACAGGTGAGAGTTAGTTTGTAACTAGAACTCTATCCACCAAAAGCCAGAGACAGTCCATTTTTGTGCAACACAGTTTCTTACCATGTCTTAGTCAGGCTTTCTATTGCTGTGATAAAACACTGTGACCAAAAACAGCTTGAGAAGGAAAGGGGGTTTATTTCATCTTACAGCTTTCAGGTTGCACTGTTTCACTGATGGAAATCAGGGTAGGGACTCAAGGAAAGAACTTGGAGGCAGGAACTGAAGCAGAGGAGGAGTACTTCTTACTAGCTTGCTCAGTCTTTGTTATACAACCCAAGACCACCATCCCAGGTATGGTATGGCCCACAAAGGGCTGGGCTCTCCTGCAGCAATCATTTATCAACAAAATGGCTCAGGGATCTGCCTACAGGCCAATAATATGGAGGAATTTTTGCTTGAGAGTCTTTCTTTCCAATTAGTCTAGCTTATATCAAATTGACCTAAAAGCCAACCAATAGAACATGTATCAAGAAAGGAAAAGAATGCAAGAGGTACTAGGTTCTAGTACCCTATAGAAGTGGAGTTGCTGTGGGCTTTAACTTTCCCTTGCCTCTTATCACTGCTAATCACTTCCACCTGGCTCACCACCTGAAGACATTGCACACAAATGTTCTGCTTCCATTCCATACCTGACATTCTAGAAGGAGGAAATGAAAAATCCAAGACTCTACAGAACTGAGAATGCTTGCAACAACTCCATACCTTGGTCTATAATATCAAGTATATCCAGGAAATTTGAAGTCATTTATTATTTTGGACTTTAAATTACATAAAAATATAGGCAAGTGAGAAATGAAAGCCTCTTGATGAATTCGGCAGTTTAAGAGTAAAATATCTGCTATAAACTTGTCTTGAAAACAACTTTCTCCATTTTAATTTACAGCAAGTGCATTTGCAATATTCAGATTTAATCATAGAAATGTGTGGGAGAAAGTGATTTCCATCATACTCTTTATCCCCTACCTAAGGTAAATTGGGGTCAAAAGAATGAAGATGTAATTAACTACTTGGAATAGGGCTAAAAGAGGCTAGTCATTCACTGACTAAATAAGGATGAGCTAGCTTTTTATCTCTTGGATATTTAGATTATACTGCAGATATGAGCATTTTAATGGAAAGGAAAGGGCATATAGATATTTAAACTGTGATAATTAAAGGGAAAATTAGCACCATGACCTATTGTCCCAGGTATGCAAGCTATCTCTGATTCAACACAGGAAATTCAATCCATAATCTAAAGAAGAAATGGAGCCATGCCAAGATATGTAGAAAAGTATTTGACAAAGTCCAATATCCAATCACACTCCAAACTGAATAAACTAGAAAGAGTGACAATATCCTCAACTTGATAAAAAATATGTCCCAGAGTGCAGGGGTAACCACTGGGTACTGATGGGAGCAGTTAGGAGATGTTGTTTCAAGGAGATGTTGGTCCTAAAATTTCACCTACTGAAAGGAATAAGTTAACAAGAGGAATTATATAACTACCATTAGTAGCATTACATTATATTCTGGAAAATAACCAAGAGTAAACTTTAAATATTTTGCAAAAATGGTAAGTATATGAACTAATATGAATTATAATCTGCCTAGTCACTGAACAATGTATTAATTCAAAAGGTCATGCTGTAGCAAGTCTATGCAATTTTCCATTTGTAAATAAATTGGAAATGTGAGAATATACAAAAAGGCTGTAAATCACATCATCTCTAATAGTGATTAACTTGGAATTTTCCACTAAATAAAGAAAAGGGAAGGATATACCATTTCCACCCCAGACTTTCAATTAACGTAGAAAAGTTAAAATGTTGCTAAGACCAGAGCCAAATTATACTGTAACATGTTAGGCCCCCTTCATAGCAATTTATTGACCTCTGTATGTGATCTAACAATTTTGCAGCCATTGGAACATCCTTTGGAATGTACAGACCCCATTCTCTACAGCCAAGAGGCTAAGGATGGCATCAGATGGCATATGAGGCCTGAGCTAAGCTTCCCCTTGTCCTCTGTGCCCTACGTACCTGATGCTTCCATCCATTTATTTTCAAAAATGTCTTAATTCAAATTGCTTTGTTCTTCACTACACAGAATGGTCATGATGTTAAAATGTGGAGTTTGGGGGTAACCAGAATCTGTATTGCTGAGCCACAATCTCTAAGATTTGGCTCTTAAATAGATTCTCATCTCCTTTGAGATGAGAGATGTGGTTTAGTATTGACTATAAACCTATAATAATCAGAAAGTGTGATATTAATGAAAGAATAGGCATTTAGACAAATGGAACAGACTAAAAGACACAGAAATGGACCCATAATGTTTAATCAATTGATTTTTAAAAAAAAAATTTATTTTACTTAATTAATTAATTTACTTTTATTACTTGTGTGTATGTTATGTGTATGCTGGTTCCTGAGGGGCCACTCTTGTAGACCTGAAGGTGCAGGGAGTGTGAGGCTCCTGATAGCAGTTCTGGGAATTGAATTTTGGTCCTCTGGAATGCCTTGTGCCTACTGACCCATCTCTCCAGGCCCTAGTTGGCTGGTCTTTGACAGAGGAGTTAGGGCTTTGGAACACCATGAATCTTTTCAGTAAATGATGTTGGTAAACAAGCACATCTGTATGCAAAAACAACACATAGTTGATGCAAACTGCTGTGGTTTGATTGCATCCTCTAGATTCATGGGATGGAAACAGAATCCTCATGCACCAGCTAGGGAAGGACAGTCCTTACTGGGAGTGTGTAGGTTATAAGGGCTTCCCCTTTACCAACACACTGCCATTATAAAAGGGTTCTTGGGAGAGACTTTGCTCTCTCCATATCTCTGCCCCTCTTCCATGTGATGCCTGGAAATGCAGCAAGAAGCTTTCCAGATGATGCCACTGTCATCTCAAATTCCCCAGTCTCCAAGAACACTGGGAAATAAATGCATATAAGGCATAAAATAACTGCAAGTATTCTGCTTCAGAAGCATGGACTATATTAAGATAAAGACCTCACATCCTTCCAAAGGATCACAGGCTTAAGCATAAAGCACAAATAATAACAGTGCAAAAGACAACACAAAAAATTTATATGACCCAGGGTTTAATAATGACTGAATGCAACACCAAATGCACTGTCTAGGATAATTAGAGCTGAAATAAAAATTTTCTGTCAAAGACAGTGTTGAGAAAATAAAAACACAAGACACAGACAGGGGGACAATATATGCACAAGGCATGGTTACTAACAGACTATAATTTAAAGCATGTTTTAAAATAAGAATGAGGAAGCAACCCGGTTGAAACTCAAAAGTATACTATTAAGTGAAAAGAGTCAATCTGGGAACAGTCTACTGCATTCTACTGCATGATTCGAATCGAACTCTGTGACATTTGGGAAAAGAAAACACAACAGAAGCCATGACATGATCAGTAACCTCCAAAGAACCACACTGTGGATGCAGATTTATAAAGAGAAAGTAAATTTTCAGCAATCCTGCTGTGAATTACAACAGAAAGTACTATACCATTTAAGTTTGTTTCAAATGTTAAATTTTATAGTTGTTTAAAGGGTGACTTAACATGATTTTCTGTGTTCAATAATTAAAACTGAGTTTTAATCAGTGAAATGACTTAAAGTTGATTATTTGCTGTAAAATCTCAAAGTCTGAAAAAATTCTCACCTGGATGTTTAATTTCCAGATCAGATGTTGCCATTCTGTACAATGACCGCTCGGTGCTTGAGAACCACCATGTGAGTGCAGCTTATCGACTTATGCAAGAGGAGGAAATGAATATCTTTGTAAATTTATCTAAAGACGACTGGAGGTGAGTTCCAAAGGAAACCCGAAGGAAATTGAATCGCAAGAACAATGTAAGTTATGTTATTAAAGTGAGGAAAACAGATGAAACCCCAGGTCGTTCTGCATTACAAGCTCTGCACCTGCGGAGTAGATGCTCTGAGTATCAGGGCTTTGAAGGCCCAGTCTGGGCACAGGTGTAGGCCTCTGGATGGAGAACTATCTTCAGATTGATTTGGGGCCAACACACACATGTAAGGCTACATGTCACACCACAAATACTTAGAAACATAATTATTCAGTCTGTAGTGGAGCTTGAATTTTATTTTTATAACTAATATGTAGCTTATATAAATTAAAAATTTTAGCATCATGTTTACTCTTATCCCTAGTTAATTTTGTTATTGTGGAGCTTAGCCTTAAAAAAAGTACAACCCTTCATCTACTTAAACAAAACTTACAACTATACTAACATGACCCACAGTGTAGAGGGAAACACTGTATGCTTCTCCCAGGACTAAAATGTATGTGTATTATTAACCTTTATTGTTTTCCCATTGAATTATCTTTTTTTTTCTTTCTTGCTGTTAAATCTTTTTGTTTTAGCTGGGTGGAAGTGACATACGCCTTTATTCCCAGCACTTAGGAGGCAGAGACAGTCGGATCTCTGTGAGTTTGAGGCCAGCCTGGTATACAGAGTGAGCTTCAGGACAGGCTCCAAAGCTACAGAGAAAGCCTGTCTCAAAAAAACAAATACTAAACAAAATAACAAAAACTTTGTTCTTTCAGTATGATTGTATTTACTCTGTTTTTTCCTCTTTGTTATTGCATTTTATGCTTTTCTTCAGTAACTTCAGAAATTTTTGTATTTTTCTGTTAACATGTACTATAATAATCACCTATAATTTAGAATTAATAGATTCACAGAGCTTTCCAGTCACCAACAAAATACCTATTTACTGATATAACACACAAAATTTTACTGATCATTAAAATTTGGTTATCTTGTTAAAGACCTGTAATTTTTCTGCTCTCAATCTTTTTAGTATTTTTTTATTACAAATAAAAGAATTGCTCTCTTTATAAGAATATTTCATACATTAAGTTGTACTTCTCTTTTGTAACATTTTATTATTTATTTAGTTTATTAATATAATATCTAGAATTTATCGAATATTTAAATGGAAAGCATTGCCGGGTAGTGGTGGCAGTACTCTACTTTAATCCCGGCACTCAGGAGACAGAGGCACAGGGATCTCTGTGAGTTCAAGGCTAGCCTGGTCCATAGAGCCAGTTCCAGGACAGCCAGGGCTGTTAAACAGAGCAAACCTCTCTCCAAAAAAACAAAGAGAGAGAGAGAGAGAGAGGAAGAAAGAAAGCATAGCATATTTTATCACTACTTATCACACTGTATAAATGTCACAAAATTTTTGTCTTGATTTTCTTAGTTAACAAGTATTTTATCTAGTTGATATTTAATGTGAATCATGTTAAAATTTCATTAAAAACTGTAATTAATAATAATTTTCTCAGCTGCCTTCAATTCCTTTATTTACCTGAAAACTTGGGTAAATTATTTTAAGCAGGTTGCCCCATATTAGAAATGATAGCAGAATATATGGCATCTTGTTGCTTTCATCTAAAATAAGGTTGAACTGAGCACATACAATTTTCAATAACAAATTCTAATAAACCATCTTTTATGAAAATTTTTTGTGTGGTAAGAGTTTCTAGACAGTGTTTCTCTGGGTAGCCCTGGCTATCTAGGAACTTGCTCTGTAGATCAGGATGGCCTTGAATTTAGGGGTACACCTGCCTCTGCCTCCCAGGTACTCAGGTTAAAGGCATGTACAACCACTGCCCAGCTAAAGATATTTTGATTCAAGGTCATAGTTCAAGTTGCTTCATGCCTTGCTTTAACTTATAATACTGGCCCCATAGTGAAAACAAAATATAATTGACTTCTTGTCTATGAATCCTTTGCTAGGGTGACTCAAATCTCTACTTAAGAGTGACAACAATCATTTCAAGTAGAAAAACAAAGCAAAAAAAAAAAACCCAAAAAACAAAAAACTAGACTTAGCAATTATAAGTTGGCAAGCAATGTTGTGGCCTGAAAAGGGATAACATCTCATTTTCAAAGAGAATATTAAGTGGGATGTATTTATTTATTTGTTTGTTTGTTTGTTTGTTTGTTTATTTATTACAAATCCTGAGTGTCAATGATTAAAATAATGTCCAACTTTTTGTGAGCATGATGCCATTTCTAAGGCGACAGCTCTGTGTTCATAAATGCTAGGAAAAATAGAGTGGTCATTGATATTTACAGAAATGTCCCACTCTAACCATTCTCTTTTGATGCCTCTGCAGGGATCTTCGGAATTTAGTGATTGAAATGGTGTTATCTACAGACATGTCAGGCCATTTCCAGCAAATTAAAAACATAAGAAGCAGTTTGCAGCAGCCTGAAGGGTAGGTTATTTTCTTGGGTCATGTTCAAGTTCTGGGGACTTGGGCTTAGAAAACATTAGGTGATTATTTTGTTCTGGTAATTTAAACATGTCTTTGGCTTGGCAGGATTGACAGAGCTAAAACCATGTCCCTGATACTCCATGCAGCCGATATCAGCCACCCAGCCAAAACTTGGAAGCTGCACTACAGGTGGACCATGGCTCTAATGGAGGAGTTTTTCCTGCAGGTGCCCTTTCCACTGGGTTTTTCTTTTTCACTACTGTGAATATTGGCGTAATATGCTCGTGTGTGTGTGTGTGTGTGTGTGTGAACAGAATAACAGAATCCAGGGCTTCTGAGTTATATTTTCGGTTAGAGAATTTAGTCATGTGTTAGGAAAATACAGTAAATAACTCAAAATGGTACCAAATGTCCTTTAAAAAGAGTAGTGTCTCCAATATGAGAATGCGGCAGTCAGAAGAGAAAGGAATAGAACAGGTTAGAATCACTATGTTACTAAGAGGTAGGTTTGAGATTGGAGATGCAACTAGCTTGCACAATGAAAAGACAAGGGGAGGATGCACAAAATTCTATCTCCTTGCTCAAAATCTAACCCCATGCCCGGCTACAATGGAGGCTGAGGAAAATGAAGCTGAGAAGGCACATGCCTAACTGAAACAAGTACAAGAGAAGATCCCTGCTCTCCACTGCAGGCTTGTACAAGTCATTTTCCTGGACTGTGTCCCTAATATTTAATTGAGTTGAGAGATATCAATTTTCTCAAGAATTTTAAGGCAGAAATAATGTCAGTTTTACTTAAAATTTTCATGATAGAGGGAGAAGAAAATTGGCAGTGCATCTCTCATAAAACCTCATGAAGATGTTTCAAATAAAGGAAATTATAATCCATATCTGTCATGATTCTAGATGGGGAAACAACATATCAGCAAGTCAAATCCAATAATGTAAAAGAATACATAGCATGACTTGAGCTTGCATGTCAAACATTTTTTTAATTACACTGAACTATATTAAAAGAATAAGAAGGGAAAATCACACTGTCATGTCAATAGATTCACAGAATGTATTTGACAAAAATCCAACATTTTAATCATACAAACTCCCAGCAAAGTAGTTAGAAAAAATCTTTTGTCCTAATAAAGGGTCAAAGGGCTACAACTAATACTTCAAGGTGAAATGCAGAACATTTTTATGCTAAGATCAGAGTATCAACTCTATTTCGATAAAATGTTTCATTTGAAGTCTTAATCAGTACAAAGGAGTTCTAAAAGGAAATAAAGAACAAAGTATAAAGTAAAACTTCTGTTGTTGCAAAAAAAAAAAAAAGCCAGTAAAACCAACACATGAATTTACAAAGTTGTAGGGTCATTTGTGGTTCTCTACACAGGCAGGGAACAATTTGAAAAATTAATAAACCATAATACTACTTATGAGAGTATAGGACAAAGATAAATTCATATAAAACAACTACAAAGAAAATATAATAAGATAAATTTTAAGTGTGTGTGTGTGTCAATGGACAGATAGTCCATGCTAATGAGTTCTGTAGTTCCTTTTCTGTGGCTGTGACAAAAATACTGAGAAAAAGCAGATTGGAGAGGAAGGAGTTTATTATATCTTACAAGTTACAGCCATTACCTTGGGAAGTCAGGGCAAAAACTGAAGCAGGATTACATAGGGACACTACTTAGTAGATTGCTCTCCTGCTTTTTTAGACAATCCAGAACCACATGCCTAGAGGTAACACTACCCACAATGGGCAGGGCCCTCTCACATCAATTATTAATTAAGAAATGGCTCCATAGTGTTGCCTACAGGCCAGTCTCATGAAGACATCTTCTCAGTTGTGGTTTGCTCTTCCTAGATGACAAAAATTATGCATAGTTTTCCAGTGGTCGGCAGAACAATAAATTACAAGGTTTAAAATTATTAATACATAGGTGACTTCAAAATTGATTAATATGTCTGGGATTGTGTTGCAAAATTATTAGCAGACTTCTTTGTAGAAGCTAGAAATCTGATCCTACAATCTAATGGAAATGCATGAATCTAAATAGCAATGGCAAGAGATGGAGCATCCACTGTCCCATGTTACATAATTAGCATTTCATAATATAGAAATGACCAGTCTGTCACTGGCACATAGACAGGGAAATAGATCAATGCAATATGACAGTGATTCCAGAAATAAGACTAGACGTGTAGACACGTGATTTTCTTCATAGACACCAAAGCAAATAAGTTGGGACTTTCCACTATGCAAATGCAGTAAGCAAATTTGCCTTTTAGTTTTTATAAAATTTAATTTTGTCCTTTTTTATGTATATGCATGTGGATTCATGTATGCCACATGTGTGTGGGTATCCTTCAAGTCCAGAGGCTAACTTCTGATGCCCTTATCTTCAACTGTCATTTTTGTTTTATTTTAGATTTTATTTTTGACTTTTCATTTTGTTTATCTTTGGTCTCATTCTGTAGCACATTCTGGTCTAGAACTTACTCTGTATCCCAGACTGGCTTTGAACTTAGGGCATTCCTTCTTCTTCAGCCCCCAAGTGCTTGCTTTAAAGGTATGCACTACCATACCTGGCTCTTCAATTGGTTTTGAGAAAAATTACAAGATGAATATAAATGTAAACAACAGAGAAAAACAGTCAAAGGATGATGTAACTATGAGAATTTTTGGGAATAACAACTCATCTCTTCCTATACTTTCTTCCCTCCATCCTTACATACACGCATGCAACATACATACATACATACATACATATACCTCCCCTTTTCTCTGTATGTAAATTAATATTAAGAGAAAGTTTTTCTGTGTCTAAGTCAATTTTGTGTTGATTTGTTTAACAAGTCTATACTTTATGACAAATGACATAGGAATTTTTAAGCACAATATATTTGGAGGGCAGGGTAAATGTGACCAGATCTTTGTTTATCTTCTTCAACCAGTGCTCTTCCTGTCTTTGGTCTGTTGCCTCAGTTCATCCTCTATCCAGGAGGAGTTGTGACCAGAGAAGACAAAGGTTGTACCCTAGAATCTGCAGTTCTGAGAAACACTGATTTAAGATCTTGACTAAGTGCCTGTGGCAGAGGAAGTTAGACAGCTCCTCATCTTCAGGACATGAGTTTTTCATATTTATTAGTTCATATAGTGTTTTTGCTTTGAAAGTTTAACAAGTTAACAGAGGAGCTTTTGACTACAATGAATATATTTGTAAGATGCTCCATCCATTTCAACTGTGATGGACATAGAAGACAGAGGTACCAGCTAAAATGATAACCAATAGCAAAGGAAGACAAACCCATATGTCTTTATTTCTTCTTGGACACATATTAGTTATCATTATGAGAATTAACATGATTAAACAATATAAAAATAACTACTTCCATTAATTTTTTCACTATGCACACGATAAATGAGCATTTCCTTTTCCCAGTTCATAATTTTATGCTGCATAGAAAAAAATGTCAATTTAGGAAGACAATCAACATCTGTTAAGCAATATTGTATTATAATTCAGAGAGAAACAAATTATTTGAAAAGTAGGTTATCTGTTAGGAAAAGACAAAGTGATGGTTTTTCTTAGCTTTAAATTGTGTATAATCAAGTTTCTCTGTTTTCTTTAGTATTGCTAGATGTCATATAAAGTATGACATTTCAAAGTAAATTTTATTTTCACAGTACTAAAAATACACTCAGTTAATCCATTCTCAGCCAAAGACATAGCACCAATGAAAATTGCAGTTATAACTTACTAAATAAAATGAATGTAAAGAAATATAGCTCACAATATTACAATCAAGCTAGTTCCAAGAGTCACAAAAGTACTATAAATAGCAGCGACACAAAAAAAACCTAAGGTTTGGTAAAATACTTATAATATTAATAATGCACAATAGATTTTTACCATAAATATAATTGAAAACCAAGTTCATTGTTGGAAAAACTTTATTGAAAATGATTTCTTTGGCTTAAAGTTCTTTCTTTGATGAATATTCCTTCATTTTCTCTTAACAAATAATGAATTTTGTCCTGGGTTTCCGTAGTGTAGTGTATCACACTCGCCTAACAAGTCATGAATTTTGTCACAGAATCTAACAGTAAAGGGCACCATAAGGAAAGTAGAATATTTTACTTGTTCTATTTCCTTATGTCAGAATCATCAAATAGTAATGTCTCAAGTTACAATTATGTACCTGGTCAAAGTGACTAACAACTATTGACAATTTTCATGCTTCTCATGGGGAAAACTTATCCCAGGGAGTCAGAAAGTAGAGGAGAACTTTGACTGGAAACAAGGGTGAATGTACACATGTCATGTTGTGTGAGATTTTGTTTGTGTTCTGACAAATAAGCTCAGCAGGAGATCGAAGAGTAGAGCTAGCTACTAGTTAACTGCAGAAGCTGTGTTAACTGCAGAAGCTGTGTGGTGGTGGCTCCTGCATTTAATCCCAGCACTCAGGAGGTAGAGACAGGATGTGATAAGGTGGGGTGGAGACAGGATCTCAAACCTTTGGACAGAGAAATGGAGACAGGTTGGAAGCAACTAGCGGTTGCTTCTGGTTCTCTGATCTTCTAGGTTTTACCCTGGGAAAAATACATATCTATATATTTAATCTATATCTATCTGAATGAAGATGTAGCAGTTATATATTGCCATTAATCATCATTTTGTTTGGGTGACCTTGTGAGATTTTCTGAGGGCTAATTTAGGAAGAAGAGGAGGAAGGCAGTCATATGGAGAACATTCATTATGCAGGATGTCCTGGGACTTCTGAATAGGTGAACCATCCCCATCTCCTTCCAAACTTCCTATGGAACGGGTGATTCCTCACCTCCTATCCTTAGGGCCTGACAGTAGTCTGAATGTTAACTGATACTACTCTTGAGAGACTCAGACCAGGTCTCAATGCAAGACTCAGACCAGGTCTCAAACCTGGTCCCAAGGCTTCTGTTCTTCATTCTCCTTCAGTTCCTCCATCTATTTAAAACCATAGACATCATTACAGTTTAAGTGAATTTTAAACTATAAAGGCTTAATTTGACACCTCGCTGATAGCTGCCAGAGCCTTTTTACTCTGTTTGGGAAGCAGAAGAACAATTACTAGTTGTTTGTCATGGCCTTTCAAAGACTGAACCTTGACAAGCTCCCCAGAAAATGCTGAGACAGATAAGGGCTCTCTAATGTTGGACTTAAGACTCCCCTGCCGCATTTTGATGGGGCCGCTTCTGTTGCTCAGCACCTGTAGTCTCATCCCCTAGAACATGATGCTGAGACCCAGGGCATCACAGAGAACCCCTATGTAATTAATTGAATGTGATATTTTCGTAAGTAAATTAAAACACTAGGAAATGTGTTTATGTAATAACTTATTGATTCACAAAGTATATTCTTGGTCTTCTAAATGAAATACTGTCTACAGAATGCACAACTCTTAAGATAAATATAAAGTAGTTGTTAAGTAGAATTCCTACTATTGTGACCCTTGACTTCATTTAAACAAAAAGTAAGTGTACCTGCCCTGGGAGAAAGTAAGGACTTTGCAAGGGTAGTCAAACTTACACTAAGGTAACACGTTTTCCCTTTATACCCCTCTCCCCTCACCCTTAGTTGTAGTCCATGATGCCCTGTTCAATTCTTTCATGGTCAGGCTCAGGCCGCCCTGCTGACCTTGTACCCATGGCCTTTATTCATTCCAAAAAATAAATAACACTTTGAAATATTTATGAATAAATTTAATTATTAATGCATCTTAACATTCTGAACTCTTAGCAATATAATTTTTATATTCTAAAGTAGTTGAGAGGTACAGGAAACAGAAAAACAACATAAAACCCTCAACTCCATCAACAGGAAGGCCAAGCATGCACGTATGTGTCAAAGGCTTATGTCTTAGATGAAAATTTGTCATCAGCTTTTATTAAAATGAAACTAACACAGAGTACATTATCATAGTATCCTTTTCAACCCTAAATGGGCTTTCTTAGTCTTCCAAATAACGATATAATATAGAAATAGACCTACTTATTATATCCTATTGTTGTATTCTTAAGCTATAAACTGCAGCTCTTCAACCAATAACATCAGTCAAATGCAAGTATTATACTGTCAATCAATTGTATCTGTAAATACAGATGCCAAATAAGCATCTTTAATATCACGTTTTGAGTCTGTTGTTTCTATTTTAATGATGTTAGTGTTGCTAATTTAATATAAACCCTTACGGATATTGTTATTCAACAATTAAATATTGATGATATTTTTGAACCTTGTATTATAAAATCATCATTTGTGGCTAGACATTTAATAAATCTTAGTCAACGAGTGGAAACAGTTTTCAAAATGCTCAGGCATTTAGAAAAAGCAGTAAATGCAAAATCTTTCTTTTTAAGACTTTGTTGAGTGGAATCTAAAAATGAAGGAAAGCCTATAAACTTGGTTGTTAATTAACTGCGCAATAATACAGAGATGACTGATCCATGGGGACTTCTGAAAACTGAAGTATTTGTCTCTTTGGAGTCAGTGGGTTGTGACACTACAGCATTATTTAGAAATGAGTTAGCACTAGAGGAATTCCTCTGACAAATTATATAAGCTTAGGTTTTAATGATATAAATAAATGGTGGTAAGTATTAGTGCTTAAAAAAAATGAAAAAAAAATGTGGTTGTTTGAATTAATTCTATATAGACTGCACATTTCCTTAAATTCCCCACCTTGATTCTGATAATTTATCTTTATTTCCCCAGGGAGACAAAGAAGCTGAATTAGGGCTTCCATTTTCTCCACTCTGTGATCGGAAGTCCACAATGGTTGCACAGTCTCAAATAGGTAATACTGAAGAATGGCCCTGAAAAGTGGGTGGGACTTGTTTCTGTTCAAAGTTGTGTACTACACTCTTCAATGTCTTCCAGACCAATCTTGCTCTGTAATCATGATAAGTTTATTGATCGTTGATCTAGATGATGCTGAATGAAAATCAATGGAGTATTTTCACAAAACGAATCCAGTAAAGCTGCTATTGCTAGTCAAGGTCAGGTATTTCTAGGTTCTCAGCCTCTAAATCGAGGAGCTGAAGTAAAAGCCCACACAGATTTTCAGGATAAGCAAGGTAACTATATTTAAAGGAACTCTTAAGAGAAAAAATCTGACTATTCTGCCTGGGAGCAGAGGCTATGTAAGTGAAGATACTCAAGGACCCAGGTTACAGCCTAGTGTTTCTTCATGCGTTGTAAAGGAAAGAGAGGCCAGCTTCTAAGTGGTATGCTTGCAGCAGTCCTCTATTTTGATTGCTAGGCTAGAACACATGGTCATCTTCCTACCATGCATGTACCTTCCTAGAATGCTTCTGATTGATTAGAAAGTCTTCTCAATTTGATTGTTTTTAGGGGAGGAGAAACTTATCCCACTGCTCTTAGAGGAGTATAGATGTAGCTAAGTGAAGTGGAAGTCAGTGGTTGTTTAGAGGAATTGTATAGAGAAGGGTATGTGTGCATAGAACACACAAGAAAAGGAGCTAGCCTGCCAAGTGCAGTATTGGAGGGGCTTTACATAACAAACCAAGCAGAGTCCCAGGTTACTAAACTATTCCCTATGCTCATTCCTGACTCAAAGCATTCTTAGTCAATACAGTTGTCATTCTTGGTTGGATCCCTAGTAAGGACTTTTCTTCTTGTGTAATGGTTCTTTTGTTTCATAATATTGTTGATTATTATTTTTTCTATAATTTAATTCTTCACACACAAAGCAAGTCAAAGACAATATTAACTTTCCTATTGTTATTGCTAACTTCACAACAGGCTTAATGCAAATTCATATTCTTCAGGAGGAAAATTCTTTTTTTTATAGAGTTTTTTTTATTTAATTTTATATAACAAAGTCCAATTAAATGAAAACAAACATTTATACACAATATTTGGGAATTTGGACGTCGTTCTTTCCAAACTACTTCCTGCTGGTAAGGGGCGCTGTCTTGGGGGATTCGAAGAAGATTCAGATATCCTAGCTGTAGTCTGTAGGGCTGTTTTGAATGTAGGATCAGCTTGTACTCTGTTTCAGGCGGTCTGGTGTGATCAAACCACATTAGTCTGGAAGGAATCCACATCTTTTCATTTTCTGTGGAAACAAAAATAGAAATACTTTTCCCCAGTAACTTGTTCTTCAACTTAAATTTTGGAGTCAAAGCGTTTTTTTTTTTTTTTAATTTATTATTTTACATGTCGATCCCAGTTCCCTCTCCCTCCCTCCCTCCCTCCCTTCCTCCCTTCCAGCCCTCCCTCCTTCCCTCCCTTTTGCCCTCTCTACCCTCTCCCATGCACTCTAAACATCCTCCCCTCCCAACCCCCCACCACAATACCATATGTAGGGGAATGCCATCCAGTTGGGGTCATGTAGATCTGACAGGTCCTGTGAAGTAGGGACTAGGGCTTCTCTCCTATCTCTAGAATAAGGCAGTTATCCCTCCATGGGGGATATGTTTGCAAAGTCCTTTTGTGCACCAGGGATACATCCTGGCTCCACTGTCTGAGGTCTCTTAGACTGCTCAGACCTTCTGGCTGAGACCCATATTCAGGGGGGTCCGAGTCAGTCCCCTGTTGGCTTCCCAGCTATCAGTCTAGTGGCCCTTAGCTCCTCCTTGTTCAGGTAAGCTGTCTCTATGTACTTCTACCGCATGGTCTTGTCCTCTCCATCTGCTTCTGGGTTCTAGTTCGACTCAGTGTTTATGTATGGGTGTTTGCTCCTGTTTTCAACAGGCATTAGTTGAGGACTCCATGGAGAAGTTAGTTGTTGATCTCACTCTCCTGGAAGGGCATTTATGATAGCCTTTCCATGGAAGCTGAGATTGTTAGTTGGGAGCAGTCTTGTAGTTCCCTCGACCTTTCTTTGTGTTCAACTTTATCTTCAAACCAATATTGGCTCCCTCTTTTATGTTCTCTCTCTCTGTCTCTGTCTCTCTCTCTCTCTCTTAGGAGGAAAGTTCTTGAGACATGAACAGATAAATCAGCAGCAGGAGATTTGCAAAATGATGTTATTTCCAGCCACATTTGTTCTTACCCTTTGTTTGTGTAGAGAACTACAACTCAGTTCATTTATGAAAGCACATGCTTGCTTAAGCTGCAAGGTTTTAATGTCTGATAGTATTCTGAAAGCTGACGTCCTCTTTTCAGAACTATGTTATGTAAGGATCAGCAACCCTGCTCTGGAGTTAGGCTCTGGTGCATCTGTCACAGAGCTGGAGGGCAGTGACAAAGCTGCACCTGTAACCTTTCCACTTCCCAGCCAACCTTCAACAACTGCTCAGCCAGTAAAACACCAGTGCTTATCACTGTTCAGAAAGTGTGGATGTTGTCCACTCAGGACCTCATCTAACAAGTTGGGAATGACATACTGGCTGGTCACTCGGATACACATTCCTCTCACATTAGTTAGTAGAGGTGCTGTCTCATGGAACAGTCTGCCTGTGCCAGGGAGTTAAAACTCTGGATAGTCAATTAAACTTACTTTGAATTAAATGTCATGAAAGATACAAAATTATTGAATACTTTTGTAATTGAGACGTGTCTCAACATGTACTTGAGAAGTGTCACACATCCAATAGTTGGTCAAGCAGTCATTGAATAAGTTGCATCCCTGTACATGTCACTTCCAGACCCTTCTTTTCTTGTATTTGGATGTTAGTCTCTGTTCCCAGGTGGGCTCAAAGTAAGAGGCATCCAGTTGCTCTTGGGGCCTCAAGATGTTGCATTCCCAAAGTTTAAACCCAGTTATTGTCTCCTCCTTCACCTAAACACCAAGAGGTAAATGCAGAACTGCGGACAAGGCTCTGTTCTCTGCCTGTCACTCTCCGTCTTGATGAACACTTTAAATTTAAGTCATCACTCAATCCTGACATCTTGAAGTGGTGGGATTAGTGCTTTCTGATAGAGATTGTAGTGTTCTCTCTGCTGATTTGACAGAGCACGCCCACAAACTGGGAACTAATGCTTTACATTCAGAGAATAATAAACAGCAATTTGAAATAATAGTGCATTGACAGAACACTCTGATGCAGTAAGAAAAGAAAAAAAAAGGTAAAATGAAAGTAGTTGTCTTAATGTGACCTGAGGAGTGGGGACCTTCTATTAGCTGGTTTCTTTAGAAATTAGATAGCATTTCTTTCTGGCACATAATGTCCGAAACCAAGTGAGGACCATTTTAAAGGGTAATGACCTCTTGTTGAGAAGAAAAGACAGTCCTGCTCATTAGAGTTGGCTTGACAGAGCAGCACAAAGGAATAGGAACGATTACAGGCTTGGGCTCGGAAACTTACTTCTCCATTCTACCACTGAATACATTATTATACAAAGTAGTTAGCTGCCTCTGCCGATTATGTAGTAAATGCTTGTTTTTCCACATGTATCTCAGGGAGTCCTCACTGTGACATACCATGGGAATTGGGAAACTGGAACATTTGAATGCATCACTCTGTGTGTTTTGCTTTTTCAGGTTTCATTGATTTCATAGTGGAGCCAACATTTTCTCTCCTGACAGACTCAACAGAGAAAATTGTTATTCCTCTTATAGAGGAATCCGCAAAATCAGAGTCTTCTAACTACGGGGCAAGCAGGTACAATTATTTTGCATATTTTTTGAATGTAAGATTTTAATGATCTTTTACCCAGTGTCCCTTTCCTCAAAGGTAGGCTGGCAGTTCTTAATAATTATTAGGTAGCATTGCCATCTTGTGGCTCAATATTGTAGTGCACTCTCTTTGCCCCTGCTCAAGATCCACTATTACAGAGAACAGAAAGGGTGTGCATTGGATGGGAGGGAAGGTGTGTGTGTGTGTGTGTGTATGTGTGTGTGTGTGTGTGTGTGTGTGTGTGTGTGTGTTGGGACACTGGAAGGAGGGTGGAAAAATGAAACCTTATTTAGAATATATTGTATGTAAAAGAGTATTGAGAGAAGTGAAGCACTCCAGAGTGTGTTAAAGAAAGTCCCAGTCCCTCTCCACGTGCGAAAGTGGATGTGGATGTAAGCACCTGCCACATGCTTACATCTAGTCCTGGTAACTGTTGTCCTATTGCAGTGTGTTTTGGTCTCATATGGTATCTTGACCTTGTCTTTTGATTTCTTTGGTTGTCAATGGTAGCTCACCCAGTGTGGTTGGGTTCCATGTTGCTGACTCCCTGAGGCGGTCAAATGTAAAATGCTCTATGAGTGATGGGAGCTATACTCCAGACTACTCTCTGTCAGCCGTGGACCTGAAGAGTTTCAAAAACAACCTGGTGGACATCATTCAGCAGAACAAAGAGAGGTGGAAAGAGTTAGCTACCCAAGGTACAGATGTTGATGATCCAGATACTTCACATCTCTATAATTATTCTAATAATCGGCACTTTCTTCCATTTGATATTTTCTTTTATAAAATACACAAACTCTTGCTGGTATTTGGAATTTGATTATTCTTGAGAAAGTTGGTTCTGATGCTGGCTAAGAAAAGATGTCACCTGAATGACAGATGTGTGTGCTGGTTGGTAGTAGCCATGCAGATGCCAAGTATGGGACAATAACATGGCAAATTGCATGGGATAAGAACCTTGGTGCTTTCTTGGCAGTGGTGGCAGTACATGCCTTTAATCCCAGCATTTGGGGGTTAAAGGACAGTGAATCTCTTGAGTTCAAGACCAGTCTGGCCTATAGACATAGTTCCAGGACAGCTGGGGGTAAACAGAGAAACCCTGTCTCAAAAACAAAACAAAAAACCAACACCAAACAAAAAACCTCTGTGTATTTTCAGTGATGATTTAAAACTTGTTTTAGCACCAAGCAAGGCTACTAGCTCTTGCTATGTCTACCCACATGTCTAGCAGTTTAGTTAATAATAGAAACCAGTGTCTGGAAAGATGGCTCCGTGGTTAAGAGTACTTGTTGCTCTTACCAAGGACTCAGGTATTGTTCTCAGCACCCACAATAGGCAGTTCATCACAGCCTGTAACTCTAACTTCAGGATCCAACAATCTCTTCTGGCCTCCATAGACATCTGCAGATACATGCACATACACACAGTCACACATGCATACACATGATGAACATATACATATAACTCACAGAGATCTGCCTGCTTTTGCCTCCCAAATGCTAAGGTTAAAGACATTTGTCACCATACCCAGCACAATAAATATTCTCAAAAGAACAGAAGCTTCACAAATTATTGTGTATGCAGAGAACACCTTCTGTTAGTTGGCTGTCAATGGCACCATGCTTCTATAATGAGGGTGGGTGAGGTAGACATGCTTTCAGTCTTCCTGAATGGCTGAGATGCTCAACATGAGCTGGAGTGTACTTTTAAACATGGAGGTCAGGAAAGGTATCACTAATGAAGTGATAATTTAGATAAATGTGAGAGGAAATAAGAGAGAGTGTCAGGAAGAGGCCTGGTGTGGAAGGTCATACCTTTTCAGACAGACCAAGGAATGACCACTGTTTGAGCTAGGAGGCAGAGCTTGCCTCCCATACAAGAACAAAGAAACATGTGAAAAAGGGAGAAAATGGGCAGGTGGGAATACTGCAGTCACGATGTGGGTGTATGTGGGGATCACATCATTTGTTGGGCTCCAAAGAGGAAAGCCAAATGTAGGGTTCTCTCTCAGAATACAAGTGAATAATTTCAACTAACATTTTTAAAAGGATTTATCTGACTGCATAGAAGAAAATATTATTTTGTTTGGAGTGTAGAAATCTCACCAGGGATCAGAAAGGAGGCTGTTGTCTGCCATCCAGGAAGAAGGTGAAAGTTTAGACTAAGTCGTGGTGGTGAAGACATTCTCTAAACTGTGAAAACAGCAGAGGGAGACCTGAACCAGTATGCACAAAAGGAGATAAGCAAGAAGAGGTTAGATTTTGGGTGTGTCTGAACAGAGAATGTATATGCTTATTTATAAAATGTATAGGTGCTAAATATAATCATAATACATAGTATATCATATATATGTGTGACACACACACACATATAGTACAATATGGCTTAAAAATATAATACTCTACATCTATCCTGGTAGCATATCCTATCTGTTCTCCTTTCAAACATATCCCAAATCCAACCTCTTCTTGCTCATTATGTTGTATGCATATTGGTTAAAGCCTCGATCTTTTGGTTTTCAGAATGTTAAAGCATTCACCATTACTACTTAGTCTAAATTCCCATTTACCTTCTAAATGACAAACAGTAGCCACCTTTCTGGCATCCTTGTTGATACCACAGTTAATGTAGAGGACAAAATTTGAAAATAGCCATTATATAATCGCACACACACACATACATACATACATACATACATACATACACACACACACACTATATATATATATATATATATATATATATATATATATATATATATACATTTGTATGTAGTCTTAGTTACTTTTCTACTCTGTGATTAAACACTGAGGGAACATATAAAAGAAAATATTTGATTTGGCTTATGGCTCCAGAGCTTAAGAGTTCATGATGACAGAGCATACGAAGAGCTGAAAGCTCACATCTTGCTCCACAACCATGGTGTGAGGGAGGGTACCAAGAATAGTGTGGGCTTTTGAAACTTCAAAGCCCACCTCTAGTGACACCCATCTTCCAACAAGACTATACTTCCTAATCCTTCTCAAACAATTCTACTAACTGGGGATGACAAAGTATTCAAACATATGACTCTATGGCGGGGGCGGTCATTCTCAATTCAACTATCACATATGGCATTTACTGCATCATGATAATACTTAATCTACATGCATTTTATAACTATGTATAATCCCCTTGTATTAATATGATGCTTCATAATAAAAAATAAAAAACATAATCTGCTACAAAAAGACATCTTACTTGAAAATCAGTGACATAACAGCCATGTTAATCTGCTGTGAACCACTGGAACCTTCAAGTACCCTGAAGTGACAGCTTCTTTCTCAGAACTGCACTGAGATGAGATGATGATATGCAGGTGATCCAATGTTCACCAAAGCCATAGGTGAATCCAAAAGGTCTCACCATCATCTAATCACTCCTCACATTCTAGCCCATCTTCAGATCTTAGAACATCCTACAGGGAAACCCTGTAAATCCCTTGGTTCCAGTGTGTGGAGTTTACTGTAATAAAGTGAGTAAGTAATTGAAATACCTCTTCAAAGAGTACTTTCATCCAGGAATCTGAATATAACTATCTAGAACTAGTGTATGTAGACTTCTTTTTGATAAGAGGCTTATTTTTTTTTAAAGTGAAAATGCTTTCTATTATTCCAAAATGTTCAGTTTGGGCTAAATCTATCCATTTAGTCTGAAGAAAATGTCTTCACCATCAGTTTATTTCTCAACATTGTATGTCTCTGTTCAATCTCTGTCTTTTCTGAACAATGTAGCAGCTGACAGATTTTAGGAGGGTGTGTGACTGTTCTTGTAGTGGGGGTGAACATATGAAAATAACAATATTGTGAATTTGTATCCTGCTAGTTTGCTGGATAGGTTTATGAGAGGTAGGAGATTTGGGGTAGAGCTTTTAGGATTTTTAAAGTAGAAAATCAAATCCACTTATTCCTTCCCCTTTATCTCCTTAAGCCTAATGGCTCTAGCTAATATTATATTTAACAAGAGTGGAGAAAGTGGAAATCTGTGTCTAATTTCTGATTTTATTTGAAATATTTCAAGCTTTCCTTTATTTAACATAATACTGGCTAGGAGCTTGCTATGTTATTATCTTTATTATTCTGAGATATATTCCCTGTATCCCTAGATTATCCAGGACTTTTATCATGAAAGGGTTATTGGATACACATATAATGTGATGATTGCATGGTTTCTGTCTTTGAATCTGTTAATGTAATAGTTTATATTTATTGGTTTATGCACACTGTAATTCCCATAATCTCTGAGATGAAGTCAACTTGATCGTGATTTTTGATGTGTTCTTGAGTTTGTTTTAAATGTACTTTATTGAAAATTTTTTTTGAACCCATGTTCACTAGGGATATTGATCTGTAGTTTTCTTTTTGGATGGGTCTTTGTCTGGTTTAGGTGTTTAGTGTACTGCTGGCTTCATAAAAAATGGAAGCTTTCTTCTATTTTTATGGAATGCTTTGAGAATCATTAGTTTTAGTTTTTCTTTAATAGTGAATCCATCCAAATGAACTGGCATCACTAGATACTATGCACCATGTGTTTTCTATTTGCTAAAAGACCTTCTATTACAAACTGATGGATGCCAAAGAGAAAGTTGAATGCATGGGATATTCCCTACAACATCCTCTATATCTGAATTTTCTGTGTTTTTGACACTTCAAGGATAGTTGCTTCCTCTAACTTTGCATTATGAATATGAATAATAGGTACAAGACTTTATAGCAGTTCATATGCCCTTGAAAAGCTGTTGGGTTAGAAAGGTGATAGTAGAAATGTAGAGAATAGACAAGGTGGTGATGTGCATGAGATAAGCAGTCTGAATGCTTCATTGTTGATCAGAGATTAGTTAAGTCATATCCCAGTCACTAGAACAGTTACTCATACACTAGAAGTTTGTCAACTTTATACCTCAGAGAACATGACACACATAAATACATGTGCATGTATGTTTATATATGTGTGTGCATATATGCACATAGGCATATATATGTATATACATATATATGCAGTTCTCTTTTCTGTTCTTTTTTAGAAACCTTTAGACTTACACTTGATACTGTTTTTTTCTTTCCCCCTCTGTCTCTAGCATCCTTTATTTGATCAGACAATCTAGTTCTGGCCTCAATTTTAATCCATCTAATAAAACAAAAGCAGTACTTCCAACTTGAGGTTGCTACCATTCAGCAATGAACTCATGAGTGGACCAGAATAGGATCTGGCCAATTGCTGAAATGCTCTCAATGTACCAACCCATGTATATATGACATTAGAAACTTCATGAGCCAGTGCCATCTGCTGTCAATCCAGCCTTTTGGTGGATGTTTAATATTCAGCCTTTCACTAATTAAACCTTATATTAGGTATACAGTCACCCCTTCATCTATAGGAAATATGCTCCAATATCTCAGGGTATGCCTAAAAACATACATAGTTCATAATCCTCTATATATTACATTTTATCCTATGTGTCTATGTTTATCGGGTATTTTAAATTTATTTTTATTTTATATATATGAGTGTCTTGACTGAATGTATGCCTGTGCACTTTATATGTGCCTGGTGCCAGACAAGGGCCTTGGATCCCATGGAACTGGAATTACAGATAGTTATATAGCACTGTGTGGGTACAAAGAATTGAATTAGGTCTCCTATGAAAGCTGAACTATAG